AGACAACATGTCTTCATCGCACCACAATGCGGTGTTGGAGAATTTCTTGCAGTAATATACGGTGATGGCGAAATGACGACGTTGGGGATATGGCTAGGGTTAGGCGTGGACACGTTCGCCCGCCCTCTCATATACTATGGCATGGAGTGAAATATTGTTTTTCCTCATGATTCTCCTTCTCCTGTCATTTCTTTAATATTTTATTTCAACATATTCACCGAGAAAGGGCGGGACATGAACGCTATTATCATATAGCTTACACGATAGCCTATCCAAACTGATGCAGTAAGTGACACAATGTACAATTTACCCGTTGCACATGCTGAATAGAACATAGAACATAGTTTTGTCTGGAGTCAGCTGAGGTCACTGGGTAGAGTTCACGTTAACTGGGTCAAAGGCAGGGAACAGGTGTTCTTATGGGAGTCACCCGAGGTCATTGGAACACAACTTAAGTTATGTTTGGATTTTTTTAGAACTAGAGCCATGTTCTATTGGGTCACCTGAGGTCATATGCGGGTGATTATTGTGTTTTTAAATGTATGGACAGGCTGTCGTTTCAACGGATTCCGAAAGGGGCGCATATTTCGCTGTACACCGACACCTCGTGCTGCACGGACTTGTCGTCAAGAACGCAAAACGCCTCGCGACCGGCGTTGCTAGGTGACGTCATCAGCTGGACCCAGGAGTATTTCCTGACGTACAAGCGGCGACCTCTGACCTCTGGATGGCTGCTGTGCTGGAGAGCCGGGCGAACGCGTCCACACCTAACTCCAGCCATATCTTCAACGTCTTCATTTCGCCATCACCGTATGTTACTGAAAGAAATTCTCCAACACTTCATTGTGGTGCGATGAATACATGTTGTCTATCCTCATGTTTCCTCTCCTTCTCCTTCCTCTTTTTCTACTGCCATTTAAATGGAATCAATTTCTTCATTTTGGGGATAAATGACCTAAAATTCAGAGTGAGTATGGAAGTAGGGTGGACAAATTGCTACAGGCGTTTTTTTTTAAATACAGGCTCGTTTTATTTTTTTTGGGGGGGGGGGCATTTTCCGACAAAAGCTGTTCACAATGATGGGTGACTCATAAGTATGGTATGCGAATCAAGAACCAATAGTCATGCTGCTTACCTTCATTCCCGTTATTTATTCGCTATTGGAATTTACTATAAGTTAATTCATAGTCTATAGATAGGCATTATTCCTCGTGCATCTAAACATGGCTCAATCGGCCATGAAATGTTCTAATCACAAAGTTAGGAGGTCGGGGATGTTTATTTTTTCAAACTTTATCTGTTTTTACCTAACAGTTAGTTATTATTGCTATGTCTTTTTTCCTTTTTGCCCTTTTTATTACTATTTTTTAAAAATATAAAATAGGCGTTTTATTCAATTCTTTTGTTAAGAACTGTCCAGCCTTAAGTCCCAGTGACCTTAAGTCCCAGTGACAGGTAAGTAATCTTGGCCGGTAGACTTTGATACTATTTCTGGGATATCGAGCTGTGCCATTGAGGCTGGCTAACACTCTTTAAGTAATGAAAAAGAATCAGCCCAAAGGTCTATGTTAGCACCAAACTAGATTTATGCAACAACGTAGAAATTAATCACTGAATACACTCAATTTTAGCGTTGCGTTTTATTGAAAAACTCACGCTTTTTAACATATGCAAAAACGCTCAGATAAACCTGAATCCCAACATACAAGTTGCATTCTTAGTTCATTGTTAACCACAGTTCTTATCGCCATAATGTTCATATGGGATCCAGGCTGACTGACTCACACTGTTGCATGCTGAAACATGATAAAATGATACATATATGATATATATCTCATATTAGTATAATAGGCGTTATATATATACCAATTATACGAATATGAGGTAAACACACATTCTTGGTCATAATTACTATAATCACACAAAAGCTACTTGTTATCCTAACGCAAAATTCTTTACAGATCAAGAAAAAGCAGTCTACATGTAACAGCTGGACAATTTCTCTTTTCCGGTTGTTCCCCATTGGTCTCAAGACTAACCCTATCTGATTAGTTCGGCAGCTCCGGTTGTGTAGAAATGTCCGCTGAGCTGAATAGATAACAGATGAAGGTATGAATAGATGAAAGTAAATGCAATTGTTACAGTCAAGATGTGTTCATGTCTGTTTACACAGGGAACCTTTACTTACAAAGTGTCACGGACAGGTCATTTGTTTGAAGAGTTTGATGAACCGAGAGTTTACAGATAAAATATGCGATCTAAGGCGACTCACTATCTAATAGTACACCACAAGTCTTTCCTGGTTAGATACGTAACTTAACTTAGATATATATGTTGTCTGCTTTATATGCTCCATAGGAGCTATAGGCTCCATTGCACACATTCACCTTCGTTTGGTATTGATCATACTGAAGATGCAAATTTAGTATGTATGTTCCACCAGTGGGGTTACTACCTTACTAAAGTTTACAAAGGACTACAGCCCTTGTAATGGCATGTCCTGACTGCACATGCATGTTAATCAATACATAACAATCAAGTCGCATTTTTTTGGTTGTGTTAAGGCACGTTTACACAAGTGTAATTTACTTGCCCAGATACATGGTCATGGGCACGGCCACGGCAATGCTGATGACGTACATGACAAGGCAGAGCCTGTCCAGGACCTTAGCCAGCAGGGTGTAGTCAGACACCTCCTGCTCGTTCTTCATGGCCTCGGCCAGCTCCTCCATGTTACGGGAGGCGGAGGACACGGCAACCTCCAGGCGTGAGACCGCGGTCTCCAGGCGCGTGGGCGGCGCGGACGGCTGACGGGCTGTCTCGCGGACATCAGCCGGGCTTTGAAGGTCGACCACCGCCATGTCATCGGCGGGGATGACGCGGTTGGTCCGCTCAGACCAGGCCAGCTTCTTGCTGCTGGGACCAGTCTCTCCATCGTCGCTTGCAACCTTCTTCTCTGTCAGATCTCCGAGCAGTAGGCACCTTAACAAACACCACCAAGAAAAAATGATGTCAATGTTTCTTTATGATACATACGTTCACTCCCATATCAATAGGCATGTCCAAACGTTCAGATTACTTCATGTTCAAAGTAGAAGCAATTAATAAAATGTTAAAATGTTACCAAGGTTGATACTTTAAAAATCAGACTAAATCTACAAAGAATCATCATCTACAAAGAAATATACAAAATCTACAAAGAAAAGAGCCTAAAATACATGCTAATTTGCAGCTTGGAAGGGTAACAGATGCAGAAAAAGTTTATAAAAGTATTAAGTTGCTAATTTGATTCCATCGTATAAAAATAGATAACGAATCTTTCCTGGTACGTTAAATTCATATCAGCCTAAACATGTAAAAGGGCCTAATAAACCTTATAACTTAAACACGAAACAACAATAAAGATGTATATGAGTTTCACTTCATGGGTATTTGTCTATTTCGGTCTAACCTGAGCTAGTGTTACGAATAGTACATACTTTGCCATGTAACGGAGAAAGAAGGTCTTCGCCATTGGAGACAGGCTCCCCTGCCTGTCATGAATGGTGATGATGGCCATGGTGAAGAAAAGGAAAAGTCCCATCAGCGCCATGCACACGACGATCAGCGCGGCTGTAACAGCATCCGTGGTTAACAGTTAACAACATGTTCCGAGAATTTTTACTATGGTTAACAGTTACCTAAGCAACCTAAGCACAAAATACTAATGAAATCCAATGAGGACTGTAAATCTGTTTTGCTAAGACTACACCCGCTCTCGAACCACTACTTATAGATGGACGGACACTAGCGACAGTTGTTCACATCAAATTACTCGGTGTGAAGATACAGATGATCACCGTAGCAAACAGAAAACTGTTCCGTTATCATCGTTGTAAATGCCTATTAATTCAGAATTAGTGTCTGCAAGAAGATAAAGTTTTAGGTTTCAAGTTCCAAGAATTACCTATTGATTTTCGCTTACTTTTTTATCTCAACGGAGTCCGGCCTGGCCGTGAGGAAGGTATTTAAGGGTTTACTTAATGTCGACCAGATAAATTCTACGTACTTGGGTTGAAATGCACAAGTGGCAGAAAACGAGATGAATGGAATCAAGAAGGTATTTCAGTTTCCAAGTAGTTTAAAATTCTAAACTAAGGAAAACATTTACAACATGGTCGCATCTATATGTTTACTCACCGAAAAATGGCAGCGCCCCCTTGACAGGAAGCACATCCGTCACGAACACGAGAGACACGACAGTAGATAAGAGGGTAGTCTGGACCAATCCATGCTAAATTTTATGCTAAATTTATGCAGATTTATGCAAATACAGTAATGTATGCAGATGTATGAATATTTCATAATTTTAATGATTATGCGTTCATTTATTGATAAATATGAATATTAATGAATAAATATGAATTAATTTATGTATATTTTGATATGATATATTATGACGTCATTGGAAGGGGTCAGATAGAGTTCAGTGTGCACTTTTGAACCCGGTTACCTGGGTAACCTGTCGCCTAGGCAACGTTTTGTGAAAAATGATGCCACGCCCACCGACATTGTTACTTTGACATGGTTAGCGACAGCATTTGCGGTAGATGATTGGGTGAAAGGAAACGTAGGTGACTTGTCCTGCGGATCTGGAGAAGTCCATTGGTTTGCATGTAGTTTGCATGGAAAGTAGGCGACGTGCTTCACGGCGATTGGTGGAAGGTCTGTGGGTGTCGGTCAGCAAATTGTATAAAGGGGCATCAGAAACTGGCGAGAAACCAGTCCCTCTTGTGGAGACAAACCTGCATAGAACTCTGTCGACAGCGAGAAAAGATCGAGACCGACAAGCCGAGGTCCAACACAGCCCCCGGAAGACATTCGATCGAGAAGACCGTAGCTGCATATTGACAACATCATGGCCCGTGGCGGTAACGACAATGTGCCTGACTTGCCTCTAGATGACCAGACCCTCGGTAACGTGTTCCGTGAAATATGTGGACACCGGTACCGCGAGACGTTTCGCCGACTGATGTCTGCCGACTGCTACGGATGTCAGGTCGATCATCCTAGTCAAAGACACCATCCCTGCCTCTTCTTGCACGACGACGAACTAAGGGAATACGGTCACCGCAGTCTGGCGAACATGCTGTTTAGGAAAGTATATGCAGACTTTGTAGGTCTTTCTGTGTACCTATGCGAGCAAGAGCAGGTCCTACCGTTAGAGACCATGCGGCAAAAATATGAGGAGTGGCGTCGAGACATGCAGCGCTCTATCGACGCAGACCAGGAGGAGGAGGCTGGTGAAGAGGAGAAAGAGGGCGGATGCGACAACAAGTCTGGGAGTGTTCATCCATGGATTTGTGACATGATCGAAAAAGAACTGTGAAATATGATTACCGATTGTTCATTCATGGATCAGACACATGATCCAGAAGAAGCACCGTGCATAGTTTTCTGTAGTGTGAATTATGATTACAGATTTTTTCATGAATAAAGTGCTTCAATGCTTAAGATTTGTGTCTGTGTGTGTATGTTTCTAGTGTTTAATGTGAAATCGTATACAAATGATCGGTTTCAAACATCCGCGTTAAATTGTCGAAAGGTGTAGTTTATAGATCGACGTGGATGTATCTTAAAAGTTCACGAAATTTGACTATTGTGCTTGTGGTATCGTTTATTCACCACGCAGGCTGGGGGTAAAAAGGTCAGCGGCGCCTTTGGTACTGCGCGCCAAAATCGGATGTCTATTGTGCTCGCGGTAGGCGGTATCGTTTATTCACCACGCAGGCTATGGGGTAAAAGGTTAGCGGCGCCTTTGGTACTGCGCGCCAAAATCGGATGTCTATTGTGCCCGCGGTAGGCGGTATCGTTTATTCAGTACGCAGGCTGTGGGGTAAAAAGGTCAGCGTCGCCTTTGGTACTGCCTTGGAAAGTTGACCGTACAGTATGTGCTTGCAGTAATTGTTTAGCACACGAGTAAAATGCAGTTAATTTGTTTAGCACACGTAGTAAAATGTCAGTGATGCCCTGGTGTAGTTCCATTTAGTTAAAGTTAAAAGCTCAAACGGAAGACGTACGTATTCAGTGGTTTACTACACACGCCTGACGTGTTTTTCAGAACACAGGCGTATAGACTTGACAAGACAGAACTATTCCGGTTGGTAGATAAGATTTTTGATGAGGAGAAATTGGGAAAATATCACCTACCTTTTCGCGTCCAATGTACCCAACACAAAGGTTAGACTTAAACGTGTGCTTGAAACCGTACTGCATGCAAGAGGAACAAATAAACTAGGGTTGAATCAATCTTTTGGTTGCACGTATTTACAGGCTATCCTGTCGTAATGTGACCGGTCAGACCGACCATCAGACACTGCGAACTTTTATGCATTCACAGTTACGTGTAGCAGAACAAAGAACATCTGCCGTTCATGTCGTTCCCGCGCAAATAGTTCCTGCGCATATCGTTCCCACGCAAACCGTCCCGCACATGTCGAGTCAAACAAAGAAATGGACACACCACCTAGTGTGACCATATGCCGCTCCGGTGCACATCGTTACCGCGCAAACAGCTACCGTGCATATCGTTACCGCGCAAACAGCTACCGTGCATATCGTTACCGCGCAAACCGTCCCGCGCATATCGAGTCGAGTTGGTGACGTACTTCACTGGGATTGGTGGAGGTTCTGTGGGTGTGGTTTCCGACAACAGTACAAGTTAAATAGCAGGGTTCTACCGGACCACACGTTAGTCCGTCCTCTGGAGAGGACACGACTGACACAAGCGGCAGCGGGGTCTTCAAAAATGGAGAGCGGGAGTTCTGGCGATGGTGACGGTGAACCGAGAGCGTCTACATCTGAGTATGTCGCGCACCAAAGAGGAGGCGTTTGGAAACGGAAGAGGAACGGTGAGTTTTGTTTTGTATACTTTCTAATTCTATGTATGTGTAGAAGAACGTGTGTCGATAGTTATTTCTGTTGTAAATGATTTAGATATTTTTATCTGTTCAAATGTTTTAGGTCTCTAGACATTGGGTAATGCTACTGCTACGTAGAAAACGTCAGGGGGACATGATAAGGTCGGAATTCAATGCGTCTCTTTTGTGTTATATTTCCGAACACAGTTCAGTGTCGGAGTCGGAACAAAGTCCAGTTGTGGCGTCTATGGAAGACGAAGAAGGATTAGCACAAGAAGAAGATGACGATGAAGATTCTGAACCGTTATTCAAGATTAAACAAATCAGGCAGAAACCTGTCCAAAAGTTTAACACCAATCAGGTGACGATGACTGCCGTGCCTAATCGCGACGTGGACTTGTCTGACCATGATACTATTATGAATGTCTTGAATGGTATGTTCGAAGGCATGATTCATCATGTCGACAAGAATTTGAAGGAAGATGACAAGATGAGACTCATAGTGCATTCTAACCAGCTTGACAATCCTGTGTCCACAAAAATGGTCAACAAATCTGACATGTCCCCAGAACTAATCCTTTCGGAGGTGGAACGAGTCATGCAGTCGCACAAAGACTTTGTTCTGGACAGCTCCTTTTGCGTGGACTTACTTACGGTGCAGTTTCCCGAGAAAGGAAGCGGGCACTGGAGATTTTTCTGTAACATCGAAGAGTTTGTTCAGAACAAGTCATGTATCATTACAAATCAAAAACCGAGACAACCTCTGTTGTGGTAGAGCGCTTGTCGTGGCGGAAGCCTACCTCCAGAAAGACAACCCAAATGTCAACTGGAATAGTATTCGACAGGGACGTAAAATTCAAACCGTATTGGCCCAGACATTGTACCAAGACGCAGGTGTTGCTGAAGGACCCTGTGGTTTGCCAGAAATACAAAAATTCCAGGAACATCTGTCAGCCTACCAGATCGTCGTTGTCTCGGCAAAAGAATTGAATGAAGTAGTGTACAAAGGTCCGAACAGGGAACAAAAACTCATTTTGTACCTTGTCAACGGCCATTACAATGTCATCACTAGTATCACTGCATTTATGGAGAGGGCATACTTCTGTTGGGCGTGTAACAGAGGTTACAACGATCGGAAAGGTCACAGATGTGAGCAAGTATGCAAGCTGTGTGAAACGCCAGGGTGTCTTCCATGTGACGAATGGACCTATTGTAAAGCATGCAATAGGAACTTTCGGTCACAACAATGTTTCGACAACCATGAGATATCTGGTCATTCCAGAGAATCACGTAGTGTGTGTAGCTATAAGGTCCGGTGTGAAAACGTGTCTAAAGGTTCACCGGCGAGATGTCAAACATGAGTGTTTCAAACGAGAATGTCGGCATTGCAAAAAGACTTGTTGAAAGCGACCATCTATGCTTCATGCAAAAAATCAAGCGTAAGAAAGAGCGTGATGACGATGACATCAACGAGAGGATAAGCAACGACCACGAACGTAGAGAAGTGGTCACCTCTAACGACCCGGTCATGATTGAAGAACATCATCGAAATGGACGGCTTCATCGTATACAGCTAGACAACGGAGAAGAAGTGTCCGCCATCATCATAGAGACAGAGGCAGATTTCAAGACACATTTTGGATCGCGTCCCAACAAGACACGACAACGAAAAGACAAAGGAACAGGTAGAGAAGATGTGGAAGAAAGGGACGAGGAGAAGACGGATGATGAAGACGAATACGAAGACGAACCAAACGTGATTTATACCTTTGATTTCGAAACTGAACAGAGTACAGGGCAGCACGTACCTATATCTTGTGTAGTGAAATGTGAGCATGACAAAGGTGTCATCGTCTTCAGAGGGCCAAACACTTGTGACCTCTTTTGCCGTTGGTTGTTTCACGACTGTCACGAAAACAGTACCTTTGTGGCACACAACTTTAAAGCTTTTGATGGGTATTTTATCTTGAAATACTTGATAGACAATGCCATAGTACCTAAAGGCATCTTCAATGGTGGAAAGATTATGACACTGCAGGTACCTCGCCTGAAAATCAAATTTATCGATAGCTTCAACTTCATTCAGATGGCGCTCTCCAAGTTTCCCAAGACCTTTGGGTTTGAAGACATCTCCAAGGGCCATTTCCCACATCTGTTCTCTTCCATCGAGAATCTCGGCTACAAAGGTCCCATGCCAGATATCAAATATTACGATGTAGATTCCATGTCGCCCGACAAGCGGGCGCAGTGCATGGCCTTTCATGCCGAGAAGGTGAAAGAGGGATACGTGTTTGACTTTGTGTCGGACATGACAAAATACTGTATAACAGATGTGCTGGTCCTGGAGAGAGGCTTACTCAGGTTCCGGGACACCTTTGGGAGCGCCACGTGCGGGATTAACCCCATAGACAAACCCCTCACCATTGCGTCAGCCTGTAATCTGGTCTTTCGCACAAATTTCTTGAAGGCAAACACCATTGGCATCGTACCGACGGGGGGATATCGGCACTACGAGCTTCAGAGTAAAGAAGCCCTCGATTGGCTTAATTTCGTGGCGTTTCGTGACAGTCTGCACATTCAACATGTAAACAGCGGCGGGGAGAAGAGAGTCTGTGGCAGAAAGGTGGACGGCTTCTGCGCAGAGAGAAACACTGTGTATGAATATCACGGGTGTTTTTATCACGGGTGCCAGAAGTGCTTCAAACCGCACACGAAGAATCCCGTGAATGACACAATGATGATTGATCTCTACACCGACACCATGCGAAAGAGAAAGATGATCGAGGAAGCCGGGTTCACCTACGTCGAGATGTGGTCGCACGATTTTCATGACATCAAGCAGAACGACCCCCTCTACGCAGAATACAGGAACCGTTCTCCATCCACCGGTGAGACACCCGCAGAGAGGGATGGTATTGGATTTCTAGACCCAAGGGATGCTTTCTACGGTGGCAGAACAAACGCCAGCCAACTCTATGCTAAAGCCGACGTCGAAAATGGTGAAACCATCCTATATATAGATTTCACTAGCTTATATCCGTACGTCAACAAGTACGGGCGGTACGGCATTGGTCATCCCGAAATCATCGTTGATAACTTTGAAGATCTGAGTAACTATTTCGGGGTCGTTAAGTGCAAGGTATTGCCGCCGCGAAGGCTGTACCATCCCGTCCTGCCGGACCGAGTTGGAGACAAGTTGCTGTTTCACCTGTGCCATGCATGTGCCGCCATTCGCCAGCAGACTCCCTGCCAGCATTCTGATGACGAACGTGCTTTCGTGGGTACCTGGGCTACCATCGAGTTGAACATGGCCGTAGAACAAGGGTACAACATCCTACAAATGTACGAAGTGCACCATTTCCAAAACACGTCTACAACACTGTTTCGCGGCTACATCGACACATTCCTCAAGCTCAAGCAAGAGTCGAGCGGATGGCCACTCTGGGTAGTCAACGCAGCCGATCGTTCTTCTGCCGAAGAACAGTACCTGCGAGAGTACGAGCAGAACGAAGGTATCAAGTTGGACAGGGCCAACATCGCCGTCAATCCGGGTATGCGGGCGCTCTCAAAGCTCATGTTGAATAGCTTTTGGG